GCGTTGCTGCTCTGATTCGTCAAAAAGTAAAGGATGTCGGATGGGAAGTTTTACCACATCCTCCTTTTAATTCAGACCTGTTTCCTTGTGACTATCCCTTATTTCTGATCGTATCAAACTTTATAAACAAATAAATACTATGAAAGCGATGCCAAGATCAAAACAGCAGTTAATTCATCTTTTGCAAGTAAAACTCAAGACTTCTAGAATAACGGAAAGTATAAGCTTGTCCGCGACGCATAGGTGCTGCTTATCTTTACGGATCGTTCATTTTTAATCTTCATCTAAGTCTTCAAGCTCGAATAAAGAGCAAGGGTTTTATTCACGAGCGAAGTAAAAGAACGAGTACCTTTTTACTATGATTTTGAAATCGCATATCGGCTAACCAGTCGCCTGGTTTAACGGGAGAAGGGAGAAAACTGACGATCTGCCTAATCGTTACTTTTGTTCATAATTTTCCTTTCCTTATCTTAAGAAATTATTTTACTACATTCCGAGATCTGCGTAAAACACTTGCAATTTCCCACTGCGTCATTCCATCACACTGTAAGTCCAGAATTCGCTGCTGCTCTATTTCTGAAAGTTCTCGGCCTTCTGGCATTGTTTATAATGTATATAAATACAACGACGAGCATTTCTTTTTTACATAAAGACAGCCGCTTCTTTACAATTTAGTTAGTTCAAGCTGATCTAAATAAAACTGTGATAATTAAATACATTGAACCTATGTTTATTCACAGCGCCATCAAATAGTTTTATGATAGATAGTTTGATATTCTCTCACATATCTGGAATCGGGAAAATTTGCGTGTATTCATAGTCCAATTTCCTATTTAGAAAACTTAGGAAAGATTGCTTCGACCCTATAATTATTCACACCACTGTGTGTTGAACGTTTGTGTAATGTACGGAATATTAAATAAAGATCAGTTCATTATTTAATGTCTCCACTAACAATAAGTCAACTTACATCTGCACGCTTTAGTGTCCCATTTCCCCTCCTTTAATCGCCTGAAAGCAAGTTTTCTAATTCAACGTACTCTTTAAAAAAGTGAAAAAAAGAATCGATTCTTTTTGTTACCAAAATGAAGCGAATACCGCTGAATACCTGCAGTTTTAGTGTAACATGGAAGTAAAAGTAGGTAGATTGGCTGGTCGTATACTGATCGTTGACTGCTTATTACCGTTATCGTAAAATTCGTTCTGTTCGTTTGTTGCTTGAATGTGAGAAACGATTACGTTAGATGCGATTCTACCTTTCCATCCAAAGATGGAAAGATTCGCCCGTCGGCAGACGAAAGAGCAAAGTTGTCGTCTCTTCACTCACAATGCGTTCTGTGTTGGCTGGAATCGCAAGGTAAAGTAAAAAAGCCACAGAAAGGAAACTCGGTCACGGCTGTTGAAGCCGATAGCAGCGTGGCTGCGCTGGATGTAATTGGTGCCGCAGCAAAATAGTTGAATGCCGCAGCGTGTTTGCAAAAGAAATTGTCGTGGCTGACGAATGGATTTGTAAGCGATAAATGCCTGCACAGCTGTTTCCTCCCTCATTTTTGTATCTTTCTTTTTCGTTGGTTCTTTCCTCCTCTCTGAGCATTTCTTTCCTCCTCTCTTCTTAGCATTGTAACAGAGACTCTGGCCATAAACGCGCGAGGATCTCCGGTGGATAGTCCTATGACAGAAAGGAAACGAAGATGAATGAAGCAATTGTTCTCGAGTATCGTTGATGTCGTTCCTTCGTTTCTATTTTCTTTTTCACGTTTCGTTCCTCTTCTTTTGTCAGATACTTAATTACTCTCCATTGCCGCGTACTTTATTTAACAATTAATTTTCTAGCTTGAAGGTCGAAATGCAAATTAGTAACACATATAGGTCCTAAAAATTTGTTGTGTAATAATAACTTTTTTCCCCCTGTTAAATATTTTTGAAGATTTAGAAAAGTGGGAAGTAAACATTTTTTTTCTCTCCTTGTTTTTCGTCGCATCAACTACGAGGTTGTTAGCGACGTTGAACAGTCTGCGTTGTTTCGCTATATTTTGTCGGCAAGGTTTGGTACTTTTTTGTGGTCCAGATTTCCTTTAAGAGAGGGTTCCAGTTTGTGTTTGTTGCGGAAGAAGCTGTATTTTGGGCAGGCCTGTTGTGATCGGTGTGTTACACTCCTCACACGATGGGGCAGGTTCGAAACAATTTTTGTTATTGTTGAATAATAAAAATGGTTTTCTGCGCTTTAAAATATTGCTTATATAGCCAAAAAATTTCTGATCGAAATGGAAGAAAGGATGCCATTATAAATTGACAATCATTGTTTTCGCGCCTCGCAAAACCGTCACATGGCTCATTACCTACTGCGCGAGTCGTGATTATCGCTTATTGTTGTTGGCTGATTAACAGCGAAGAAACAACGAGTTCTCCTCTATCTCCTACTTTCTCACCCTAAAGAGGTACGGATTCATTTGGGAGTAACTCGCGCGAGAAGCTCTCGAGAGTACATTTATGCATTTCTCGCAAGTGGACACCGCATCTGAGAATAACTGTCAGAGAACAGCGTCCAACTCTCCGAGAGTGGACCTTTTACAAGTTACTCTCAAGTGGTACACTCGAATGGATAGTAATATTATTATTCGAGAGTCGCTTCCAAAATACGAACCGGTTTCGTTTAACTCGCGCGTATTTCTCTCAAATGGACACTTAGCTTAACTGCTTCCTGAACCTTCATCTTTGGTTAATCGACCTACACATTTACTCACGGGACTCCCACGGATAGGTTTGGACTCACAATCAGACATTTTCCATCAAAAGGTATGTCGTAGTGCTTGCCATATCTGTCTTTTTGTCCACTAAAAGGTAGGCGAAGAAAAAATCATAGGGTCCCATTAAAAAAACTATAGGTGACCGTAATATAAAAAAAAAAGTGACCTACAAAGGATATACTTAAATCAGCCTGTAAACCTTTCTAAACCAAGGTATTTAAAAAAGAAGAATTTGTATTGGTCCAATAGTAACGGAAAGAATTAAGGAGATAAAGTTACGTGTCCACCCTATGTATTCGATAGAAGGCATGCCTAAGTATAATATAATCTTGGCTTTTCATCTGATATTGGTACACATTTTTCTGCTACGATACCGAAAAATGAAAATTTTGATAATTGCTTCACTTCAATTAGCCTCTCACTAGCATTGAAGCAAAACGGTATTCTCTCAGTGAGCATAGTGTGTAAAAGTACACTTAGCAACTGTACTTTAATTTCTGACACTGATTTAGTTAAAAAAAAGGCAAGGTTCCTTCGGTGTAAGATCTGAGACTACACACTCATATCCAGCTATAAAGAGGTTTCTGTAGAATTAGTCAATCGATGGTAATCACAGAGAAAGAAAATGTGTAGAAATTAAAAGACCAGCGATTGTGTGAATATGCACATACAACCGAAATACGGGCCAAAAGTTGACTTTGCAGTTCTATGTCAACGATCAGCGTTATCACGCTTTCATCTAGGAAGAGGATATACACATTGAGTCCAAAAGACTCCTCAAGATATGATTGTCTTAACCACTGGGTCAAATGAGGTGCTAGAAGAAACTGCTACTTCTGCAAAATTGGATTTCCCGCATCCAAATGCTTAAAATGCAAAGTGCATTTGTGCTGCAATCCTAAAAAAAATTGCTTTATTCCATTCTATTTTTTATATATAATGTAACAAATTTTTCTTGTAGTGTAAACAAAAATGTATGCGCAATTGTAACTAAAAGCGATGACCTAGAGTAGTATGAAGTTTATTTAATATTTAGGCTTTCATTATTAATCATTGAAAAAACCATTGTTCCCTTAAAAGAATTAAAAGTAAAGCTTTGGCTTGTTAGTCACCGCCTTTCCGTTGATCACTTGTTTCCTCACCCTACCTCGATCGACACCAGTCGAAAAGAACTTCGACACAGTTCGTTCAGGATAAAATTTAATTAGAAATTTCCAGACCACTCCAAGTTTTCTTTACCGTTGCTCACAAATCTGACTCAATACGTACAACCATTCTCAATATCTGCAACTGTTGGTTGCACGGTAGGTTTTCACTGTAGTTCGCGGAAGTTCTTGTCTGATTTTCAAGCTTTCTCCGATTTTCTTTGAAGAAATAAGTTTTCCTTGGCATTGATGGAAGACATAACGCGATTTTAGAGGAGAGAAAACTTCGGCGGTAAGGAAGGTTTTGCTACATTTTATTGAATGTTCTTAAATCTTGAAAGGCCGATTAGTAATTTTGCGAGTATGGAAAGTCGTAGGTACTGTGCAGGGACACTTCTCTCGCACCGCCTAAATCTCACGTCACGCAATTTTAACTATTTGAGTGCCGCGGGTTATTGCAGAAATCTGACCGAGAAATGCCAAGCGGCACGATCGCGCTTCTTTCATTTGATATCGAAAAATTTCAAAAATTTTGTTTCGGACAGTTTCACCGAATGCGACTGTTTGGAAATAACACGAAAGAAAGGCGCAAAACTGATTATGTGTAGGATTTTTGTTCAACTTTTTATAAAAAAAAAATAGACAAAAAATTGGATGAAATTCATGGCCCAATGCGGTGGCACGTTTCGATGTTGGCACTCAAAGGGCTGAATGATCCGATTTGTCGATGTTATCGCGTAGACCTCGTGTATAGTATATTTTAGAGAAGGTGAGCTTACGTAGCTGCTAATGAGTCAATATTTTTCCTATCGTGTAACAAAACTTTCCACGACCTATCGTCCTGAAAGTCACAAACTTGAAATGAAAAAAAGTTGAAGTATTCGAACTTATTATTTGTACCTAACTTCTGTGTAAGTCAAGTAACTTCTTTTTTTTTTAACGATAATCTTAAAATTTGGAGAAAAGGAGTGCAACTAATTAAACCGAGTTGAGGAACTATGCTCGTAATAGCATATTTCTATAAGCTTAGCTGGTATTGTATTTCGATTATGCCTTCATTTATATTTGAGGTTTATACTGACGTCCGTTTTGCTTATTTCTGTTTCAGCAAAATTATCTTATGAAATTTGGATATCTACCCCAGACGGATGTGGAGACGGGAAACCTTAGAACCGATGATCAGCTCAGGGACGCTATAATAAATTTACAGGTGAGTGAAATATTTTACGAATCATATCGAACCTGGAATGCTTGCTATCTGTACTGACTTAGTTGAATACGAAATAGAACTCTTCGGTAGTGACCAATTAAAGATAGTCGTATCGAGTCAACGAAAATAGAAAATCTTTTGGTAGTCGTCTTAATCGTTACGTAGAACTGACATGTTACACGCCTAACCTATAAGAATTAAGTTTTCACGTGCGAGTACCAGTTTTTACTGAATATTAACCCTTTGCAATCGAGTGGCGACTGAGAAGCGACATTAAACAATCGTCACTTGGTGAATAATTAACAAAGACAGAGAACAGATCTACGGGCCTTCATAAATTTCTTCGCCACAGTGAAATAGAGAGTACATTGAATATTTAAATAAAATAGTATACTTTATTTCTACGTTAGTTTGAAAAAATTTCAAAGATCCGTTTTGTAACCCTTTCTACAGCAAAATTACCTCCGAGTGCAAAGGGTTAAATAGTGTTGTCAGTAACACAGTGAATTATCAAGTGAATTCAAACGAAGATGATGTCTGAGTAAAAGGAGCATTCTTTGAAATTCAACTCACTCCAAAATCAAATCATAAATCATATGCATCAAGTAACTAGTATCAGTTTTCTAAAGAAAGATTTCAATAGAATCCGAAGTCCATTCGATTCATTTCACGAATCTCTAACAACAGACAGTATACACTTTGACTCTGAGAATACAGTTAACAACACTGAAATATTACTATTAATAATATACAGGGTGTCTGTCTTATCTCAATGCAGTGAAGTATCTTTTAAGGAAGTGATGTTAGGAAAAAAATGTTTTAACAAAAGTTGTTTGGTACGGAGGGGGATTATGTGGTGTAAATTTTTTGTTTGTTTCAAAGTCAGTTTAATTTTTTTAAATGTGAGGTGGGTGAGGAGCGCCGTTGCACTGTTTTCACCTCAATTTATTATGATATAAGTGTTACGGTCGGCGTACAATTTTTCCGGCAAATACAATCGTTAATTGTCCCGGCGGCAGCGGTTCGGCGGGTATGTCTCGACGGTTGGTAAAGGAAAAACTGAACTGGAGGTGTAGGCGTACTGGGTTTTTATATTGTTAGGACAGGGAGACAGGAGTAGAGATAGATAAAGATAGAAACGGAAAATTTGTAGAAAGCGGGGCCGTTCGTCCTCGTGCGAACCTGGATGCCACATGTGCGCTTAGGCTACTCGAGGACGAAGGCAAGTTTTAACCCGGGGAGAGACAAAAGGACGGAAACTAAAATCTGAAGGAGTTGGAAAAGGGAAAGTTCGCGTGGAAGAATAGAACGAGGTTCGATAAGGGTTTGTTGGCAACGACGTACTCGCCAAAAATGGAATGCTATATTTTTTTATACACAATATGATAGTGTATGGTAAGACGAGTCCAACGAGTACAATAAGTACCTACCAATATGTTCAATTTTGAATTATTGAAAACTTCCTTCTATGGGTATCCCCTCCACATGTCCTCCATCCTAAATTATATCTAAGATACTATGTTCAAATATTAAGTACAGCGTTAGGAATACAAGTTTGATTTATTCAGTGATACAACAGTAATTTGTTCTTCTTTTTAGTTTCTTGTTTCTACAGATTGAGTTCGTTTTCTCATTGAATAATGTCTTCAAATACTGTTACTTTTGTACTGTTGAAAGTATATATAGTGCTTCCTTTGTTCAAGGAAATCATCCCATAAATTCCTAGTTTGTCTTCCACGATATACATATGTATCAGTGTTTACGTTTACGAAGTGTGAATTGCCATTGAAGGGATATTGATGGAAGAAAATTTCTGGGAATCCCTATTTGTAAATTCCAGTCACATGGCGATCCTTCAGAAAAATGCATAATTCAAAAGCAATGAATATCTCAGAAGTAGCAGTGTTCCGTTCTTAGACGGTCAAAGATTAAGTCAATTGCCATCTTGGTGCCAAGGTTCCTGCCTTGGCGTGCAATTTTACCATGGGCACAAGTGTTTGCAAAGTCAGGCTCTAACTTTCCCTTAATCTGGAAAATGTCATTGGCCTCCCACGTTCCGCAAGGTCCATACGATCATTTCTACCCTCTCCTTGAGATTCTATAGGAGGGGCCAGTTTTAACACGTTCAGGACGGTGTGACCCACCGGTGGGTCGTCGATGCTCTTGTTTGCTGACATGGTCCATCGATGGGTCATTCAAAATGATGGCAAAAAGATTGAGTAGATGGTGGGATCTAACGGTGGATTACCACATTTTCAGATTACATACTGAAAAATTAAATATTAATGATAATACACTCTTCGGTCATAAGAAACGCTGACAATAGTGAATTCGTGAATTTCGCTGCCGTACTAAACGTGTTAACCCTTTAAGTCCGAGTGAGACTTCAGAATCCCATATTAGAAATCCATGATTTTCACATTTTCATGCATTCCAAACGAGTAGCCTCCCAATCCGAAGTATAAAGTGGACTATTTTAACCCTCACAAAAATTCATTAGAATGTATGGGACTCTGGAGTCCCACTCGGACTTGGAGGGTTAAGCTACGCCGGGAATAAGGGTAGTCTTTGGTGACGCTGAATCAAAGTTCATATTTGTAGAAACCAAAAAATATAATAGCTCCACCCATACAGACTCTCCAAAAAGACAGTTTTTCACTAAACTAACATCGTCGTAAACAAGTCATAAGACAAATCTATACCTAAAGGAACGCTACACAGTTGCAAAGTTCTATTTATTACAACCTTGTCAATTAAAAAACCTCGTTTAAATATACTCCACCGTTGTTAACTTAACATTGGAGGTGTAAACAGTACGCATAATACACTCCACATTGCTGTGTTACGTTCCGAACAAAATTCTTTTCTTTCACTTATTCGTCGACGGGAATGCGATTTGATAATGCATAGAATTGTGGGAAAGGTGACAGTTTAAAGAAAATTGTCGCCATAGGTGAAGCGTAGGTTTTCAAAAGTTTTCAAGCGATTAAACTGAGAGATTTAAAGTAGGATATTCGCCATACGACACTGCGGGTGGTCTGAAGAGGTAGTAGAGTACAACAGTCACAGCGAAGAAAGTATGCGATTCTATTATCTGAGAAAGGACATACAGTACAATGCGTAATTGGTTTATCAAGGCGAAGCTAGACTAGGTCAGTCATGGATGTTCATGATAATGTTTTGAAAGCCTTAATGGAACTATGGCGGTCCGTTATGGAAGGAGGAAAGAAATAGAGATAGGATGAGCGAAAAAGGAAGGAGAAGGAAGGGAGCGTTTGGTCCTAGGCCTCCTAGTGGACTCGTCAGTAAGGCTGCGTAGGAAAGCCGTGCCTTAGACTGTGGGGACGGTTAGGGTGAAAATATAGCGAGCAGGTTTAGGTCGCGATGTAACTGAATATTCGAAAGCGAGTAAAACAAATGCGATATCACACAGAGAGGCAGCTGACTAATCAGCTCGCGGCTCAGTCGACTAAAGCGGGTTTAGAGTATACCTAGGCTGTGCACACTCTACCCTGACTTAGCCTGATAGTCAGCTGAGTTACGCCGCGGCTTACTCCTGCTCGCTATGTTTTTACCCTTAGACTCAGGTTAGAAGTTTACGTAGTAATAGTAGCTTTGGCGAGCACTAGTGAGAAAGGTTAATTAGTGTTAGCTGCACAAAGTCACATATTAGGTTGGTCCACATCAGTTCGTGCGGTTTTCATTTTGTTTTCAATCAAATTCGTAACATTTGCCTATCGGCTATGTGATATACGTGATTCGATAGCTTTCGCTTTCTTCTCGTATGGTATCCTGAATATTTTGGTTCTGTGCAAATAATGAAAAGTTTTTTATTCAAAAACTGTGGAGTGTTAGATTAACAAAAATGATCATCTCCGATATATTTCACTTTATGAGTTTAATCGCAGTTCTAAAGTTGCTGAAGCTACCCGTAACATTGTGGTGGTTAAGTTAGTAGTTAAATAATTACGGTTGTTAGGTTCCTGAAAAATGGCGTGTTATACGAAACAAAGAACTAGTACAAAAAAGGGGGTTAGTTTCCAAAAATGAAAAACAACATACTATTATATTTTTATAATTAAGAGAAATATCTTTAAAGCAATTTTCACCAAAAGTACAACAGATTAATAGGTATGTATTAAATAAAAATAATATGTATTTTTTATTTCCGCTATACATAGTTCAGGGCTGCAAGTTAATTCACAAAAATGGAAAACGTAATTACCATTTCTTTGAAAAAATGTTGAATAATACTCACCCGAAAATTTTTTAATCTATGTACAATGCAGTAAAAAGAAAAACACAATGTTTGAAAATGTATGCACCTAATACTCCACGAACAAAATGAATTTAAAATTCTGCAGTCAAATCCGACACGACATCCACGCTCGAATGAAAAATTTCAAATGAGATATCTTTTAAAAGCTTTTATGTTCTGCGTTTTTCGGGGATTTCCCTAATTTCAAATGAAATATTTTTCGCTTTTAAAAGCTCTTATTGTGTTTCATATTGATCGGGTATTTCTCTAATTCTCAATACGTGTTCTGGGATGCCGTGTTGCACGAGGGTTTTCCCCAATTCTCGAACCGTGTTATACCTGTACCCAATAAGTAAATTTTACTTAATTTATTATACTCGTTATGTGCGACGTGAGACATTTGATAATATACAGTGCAGAATACAAACCACCTAACGAATATTGCAGTGCTTAAAATTATTCAAGGTCCTTGCAGTGTGAGGTCCTTTATCACCAGGCATTGGATCATTCTTTACTTTTATCCGTCTCTTTTCTCCGACAAATATCTCTACTTCATCAGTTGTAAAAGGGAATAAAAAAATTATCAGTGTCAGTGCACAAATTATCACACATTACACAGTAAAAGTTATAAGCGCCTAGAAACAGTCTTTCATGCTTAGACTGCGAACTTTTCAATCCACCCTCATAGGTACTGTACTGCGGTTATAAATGTTGGAAGTAGTACAGTTACAAATATTGACAAACAGAAATGATCTCACAATCACGAATTACTTCTCTCACCAGAAATTCGGCGGCATTCCCGTAACTGGTGAAATCGATGAAGCTACAAAGACGTTGATGACACTTCCGCGGTGCGGACTTGCCGATAAACCGGATCCCAGATACATTAGGGTGAGGCATAAACGATATACAATCCATGGACAACAATGGTCACATTGGAATCTCACTTGGAGGTAAGTGATTGTTTGATATTCCTCGTGGCATGTAAAGCTAGAAATTGGAAATGATATTTCCATTTGAAAAGATGCTGTAGATTAAATAAAATATACTAAATACATTTACTTAAAGTCATTATTTTTGTGTATTTTGAGAGGGTATTCACTCGAAAGTTTACGAGAAATTGACAACTTTTATCAATTTTTTTTCTTCCATATGAAAAAGTCTACATAATTCTCGTTTTGTACATTGATTTATTAATACTTTACTAACATTTCCATGCTATTACATTAAACAATGAGAAATATTTACTGAGATAAGTATTAATGTAAAGGATCACTTTCGAATTGCGTGGCATAAGGATTTGTAAATCCCCAGTAATACTACTATGAACACTAAAAACACCGTTTCTTGATCGTTGAAATGCTGCTGAAGCAACTCAAGTGAAAATATCACTTGTTCGTGCATCACGGCGTTCACGGTGAATTTCTCAACGATTAAATGACGCCGATTTAAGTTTGCATGATAGCGTGTAGACGTCTCCAAAACTGAATTTAGTGGACTGTATTTTTGTATGAAATGAATAGCATTCCTTTGGTGACTAGACTAGGTATATTTTACAAAGTATAAATTACGAGTGGTTGTTGCAAACTGTCTTAGGTGTTTACTGTACCAAAGTTGTAGAATGTCTACGTGTTGCTGATGACTGAACTAAATTCTTGTTGGTTAAAACCGCTTTGATGAGTGGGTGCATGAAAACTATGATTGGTTGTTCCGAGTGCGCCCGTATGCATGAGAGAGGATAAAGGTGGTGGGACGTAGCAAAATTACAAATATGGTTTTCCTTTTCCTTATTGCTTCGGCACATCAGGTAAACGGTGGACAAGAGAATCGCGCGGGTGAAACGTTCAGTCGTCTACATATTCGTAAACGACCTAAAAAATATAAATTCCTAACGACTCGGAACGATGTTTAATTTTTATGACCTGAGAACTACGTACCCTCTTGAACTTTAATTGTTACTTTGTGTATTGTGATGGAGCGTAGTTCCTTGTAACGGTTTTTTGGTGCGTACGCGACACCGTTCGTGGTGTATAATCGCGTTCTGATAATGCTTGTATCCAAGTTACATGATACGGGTATGTTAGCATCAGCTCCTTTGTCGGAGAGACGAGGTCTGGAGGCGTTATTTTAGTTTCTATCAGCCCTGGCGCCGCCGAAAACCGGAGATGATTATGACATTCAATGCCCTTTTTACAAACGACGTTTTCTTATCATAATACTTACATCTAAACATATTTATGCAACAATGAAAATACATTTACAGTTTCGTTGCTTTCTATAAGATACGACTGTCTTTTTGAAAATGTCCTTGATAACAGTAGAAAGGAGATCACACTGAAGACTGATGTTCGTGCAACGTGGTTGTCAATCGTCTTAGCGAGGAACAGCTCTTTTCTGTAGAAAATTATTAACGAAGTTAAGTGTTGTTAGAGATTTTATAATTTCGTAAAATCTGTGTAACACGCTGTATAGCATGCTGTATTCAACTAAGAACTCTCAACACGTTTCCTGCCGCGTGGGTCGCATGTGCCCAACTCTGGACTTTCCGTTCAGGCCGTTTGATATTTTCGCCAGTGACGATAATTTTTGCTTTGTTTTTTAGTGCATTTTAAACGTTGCACCCTTATCTTGATAATAATGATTTTTGCAGTGTTATAAATGTTACAAGCAAAACACTTAGACCTGTGCAACGCAGAGTCACTGAAAATCGGTCCAGCAGGGAACGTGTTAAATATCGTTGATGTTTATACAGATAAGCAAAGCAAAGATGAGACTTCTGACGTCATCGCCTGACCAAATGAGAGGAAAATAAGTGGTCAGGTCATCCCCACTATTCTTCGTTCCTACACTGCCGTCGTTTGAGGAAACGTTGTGGTGTAGGTAAATGATTTAGACAAATAGTTTTCAATCAGCTGTCGATAATAAAGGACATGAATCTTTAAAGATTGCATCGATTATTGTTCGAATAGTGTTGCGCGGCAATCACAGAAGACCCGACACTTGCCAGCGACACGCCGTCTGTGTTGTAGTGAATCGTCCAGTACCAAAAATTTCAATTTTTCTAATTCTGATCGTATCTTTATAGAAATAATACCAATGAATTGATGAGATTCTTCCGGTGAAAATGAATCCAAACACGACATAAATCAGAGTAGTTCTACTACCAGTCAACAAAATTAAATATATAAGATTTTCAAGGATGCTTTAAGAGAGACTACTATTAAGCTTAGTCCAATTTATATCGTGTTTGTATTCATTTTCACCGGAAGAACCTCGCCAATCCACATGGTACTCTGTTCATAAAGATAGGATAAAAATTATAAAAACGAATATTGGTGAATTACTCATCGAGCGTCTGAAATTATCACTCCGGTCTATTATCGACTGCTCATCAGTTACCGACTGCTCGCATTTGACTCGATCGTCGTCTATCGTTCATAGAACAGTAAGTGCAATGGCCTTATTTTATTGCGATTGGCTGACTATCAGTGACGATGTGAGAGTAAGTGCGATAGCCTTACTCTATCGCGATTAATAGTGGATGTCACTACTCCCACTTCTGAACCCCGGCTGAAGCCTCATCATTGCTTTGCCAATCTGTAGATGGGCAAACGATAGGTAGTTTATAGAACAAAATTAAAATATTCAATGGAATGAATAAAATAGTCTAATAATAACTAGTTTACGAGAAACAGATTCTATAAAAAATTAAAGGTATTATTAAGAATAATTACAATTAAATAAATTTAAAGAAGTATATTTATTGAAATGATATTAAAGAAAAATTATTTATATGACAGAATAATTAGAACACAAAATGTTTCAACGAAAACAGAACATTTAATTCGACAGATTGAGTTAAGTTTGATAGATAATTAAAATATTAAAAAAGTCAAATAAGATATTGCGAAAGATACGTGAGAAGAGAAACTTTATAATAATCATTTTATAAAATTACCATTGTAATAAATAATATATGTATCTATCAAAGTATCACTTTATGTGTTGATATGCAAACGTAAATAACACGTTCTAACCTATTTAGTTTCGAATGAATAAACAGTTTCACATAATCCATTTGAATAAGTTCAATCAGAAGAATGTAACTTCAGTGGTTCGCATTCAGTACGAAGAAAATATTTCCGGGTGCATTAATTGGAAAGCAAACGGTTTCAAATCGAATTATTTACCATCACGAGAACTGAACTTGTCGCGCGGAAACGCACGGCAATACGAACGAGTCGTGTTATTCGTTCGAATCACAAAAGAGGGAAGTTAGAAAAATTGAATTGAAAGGGGACAACTCGGATGCGATTAATTTAATTACCTTGGACTCGTTACTCGCCTGGTCCGAACACTGGGGAAGTCAGGGCTACGCTGCTTTTTCGGCGATGAAACTGCTGAATTGAGAGAACGAGAATAAAACTCGATAATAAAACAGCGCTTGAGATAGTGCAGAATTATTTGCAATTGTATCCTTATCAAAATCCTCAATCTACTGTTACACAATTGAACCAATTAATGGCTTACCGTCTGATGATGAGTGTCTCTGTTGAGCAAAAAAAAATAAATTTTTAAGAAATTTACATAATTGCAACAATTCATTGCAAATTCTTTATTTTGTGTTGATAGCTTATATACCTACATATATCTTACTGTAAATGCCCGAAATATTATGGAATTAATATTTCTTTCGTGTTTCTACCGAAATTAATTGACAAATTTTAAGATTTACTACTGAGCTGCGGTAAATGTCAGAAGTTTTATGTAAAGACATGTAAGTATCGTGATTTTGTTTATTTTGACTTAGGTTACGCTATATTCTTTTGCAACCTAACCTAACCTGACCTTAGGTTTTGTCGTTTCACTGTCAAGAACAACTCTTACCAGGTACCAGCGGTAAATCTTAAATTGCAACGAATATAAATCGGTAAAAGTCCGGAAACACAGATTGTTACGTTCAAATTGTAACTTTTACCGCGAGTTATTGGTAAATCTTAGGACTTGCCGGAAAAATCTAACATTTTCCAGTACTCGTGCTTTTGCAGTTGTCATTTGTTATTAATAGAATCTATCAAAAGTTGGTTCAATGGATTAAGAGTTGCAGTTTAAAATTACGTATGTATGCAATTATTCGTCTAGTTAAATACCTTACGTTTTACAAAGTCGTATTCCTTCCGAGGAACATTTATCCTACCGTTGAATATGCTGTGAGTTGATACCGTAGTTTTCTAATATTGCGTCACAGGCAAAATCTAGCCTGTGATTGCGTGCATTACCTATAGTCGGTAGCAGAACTCCTGCGATACCGATTATGTATCGCAGCGTTGTGTGGCGCCCCCTGAGAGCGTTTTCCACGCGACACTCCAAACGAACTGCTATAATGTTTTCCACAAATGCACATACCCATTACTAACGTCGCGGTCGGTTTCAATAAAATTCGTCCTCAAAAAAATTTAAAAAAAAAACAGAAAAAGGAAGAAGTAGACTTTTGTGTCATCAGCAAATAAATTCTTAAACTTGTTCCGCACAATGATCGAGGTGAGATATAAATAATACACGGTTCGTTAGTATTTAGGTGTTTTAATTAACGAGTGCAAGGGGCGAGCTATCATTCGGTTTAATTACGCGCCTTAACGACCAGACACAGTCGCACGGTATGTCGCACGAAAATTTCGCGGTAATTTCGTCTGGACGCCGAGCACGATGATAATCCCAGAAAATTTAAGGTCCTTACCCCGGCGGGAAGGAAAGACTTAATCAACGTTTGTCAATAAAGTGACGCAGCAGAACGATCAGTCTCGTTAGACGACTCTACAAACGTGGTGTTAAAGCGTGAAATTTTACAGTTTACTCGTGAACCATTAGCGCTTAGAAACGGGATATTTTAAAGTAATCGTCTGCCAGAAGGTTTACGACAATTTTTTCCAATTTCTCAACTCACCCGGACTTT